AATATGCCCTTTCACCTGAAATCAGGATTCACAAAATGAAACCTCATACTATTATTGCAGATGTTTAAAGAGATGTAATGAGCCATACCTTCATCATATCGTTCAATATAAGATGTGAAAGGACCAGGACAGCATTTTTCCTGACAGAAACTGAAGCATCCCGTAATCTGGCATACATATTTTCTGTCCAAGGTTCCATAAGATTTGGGAAACGAACAGCCAAGTCTCCAAGGGAAAGGGTGCAATTTGACCGGACAACTTCAGACGGTGCATTTTCAACAACTGTGAAGAGAAGCTGGAGATTGGATTCGCTGGCATATATTGAAAATATGGGTTAATTTAACTAAAGATTCAGTTTTGTAAATGAAAAGAGAATATGGGTTCAGGATTTAATCTCACCAGAAACTTGCATCAATAATCATAAACCTGCACAATGCAAGCATTGCGGAAGCTTGTAGTTCTGGATGCTGTAAGAATGGGAAAGTCAACTTTTTATTTTTCATGTACACCCCATAAAATTTGAGAGCAAAAGAAGAGGGAGCTAATACACAAGCTTCCAACTTCATCAGACACCATGAAACTGGAAAAATGAATGAAAAGCTAAGTACCTTTTGCAGCAGGGAAAAATTTCTGCAAAGCTTTGAGAGAAAAGTTGCACAATCCCCAATAAGATTCTTCTCGCCAGAACCACCAGAAACAATTTCTCTCTCTGCTCTTTCAGCGAGTGTATCAAGCAGTGCATCATCAGAGGCAGCGAGTCCTAGCTCAGCATTTATGCTATTGTTCTGAAAAAACAAAGAAAAGATCGTATGAGATAGCACTAGTAAGCAAAAGCAACCTAATAATAGGGTTGCAACGTTTGTGCCACCAGCTGCGCTTTGCGGTAATCGGCCTATACCTCTTGCGTTTCTACTGTATTCTGACTTTCAGCAGCCGATTTGTCCTTTTTAGTCTTCTGTCCCCGGATCTTCTGGATGCAGGATTCTATATACACCAACTGGTTCATGGCAATGTGACTAACAACGAACAAAAATCTACTGAGCTTTGCTACGTGAACTGTAGTCAGAATATCGACAATATTATCGTCGATATCATTATGTGCTTGATCTTGTCCAACTACGTCAAACACAGTGCTCAGGGACTTTTTAATAAGAGTAGAAGCTAAGGTTTCTGGAGTTGGGTGGATCATGTATATGGCACTTATGGCTTTATCAGCAGTGGCATAATATATGTTTTCTGGAAGCCAGTTCCCAGTGATCAAGCTCTCAAGAATACCAAACAATCGGCTGCCATTGCTGAGCAATAACTTCTTCCTATCTTCCTCGGCAAGCCGCTGAATAGCAGTGCATGCAGTTCTGGCAAGTAGAGGTTCCACTTTTGCCCAGCGGCCAAACCCAATGTCAATGATATCCTGCATGTGTGATCCAAGAATCCTAGAGGACGACTTTGCAGCCATGCAAAGGATAGAAAGAGCCCCACGACTTTGCTCTGCATTTGTCCCATTGATGTTAAAGCAAAAGAAGTCCCATAGAGCTGAAATCTACAAAGACAAAAACGATGGAAGCACTTATTAGCCTCTTGCAGGTGGAATACTTTAATTCGAGAAATGATGAATCAAAAATCAATGACAACGCTCATTATTTTTCGTTGTTCTTGACCGTGCATGACTACACGTATTGATTGAGCATAATTACAAAGCATACACATACGCTGGAGTCACAGAAGGAACCTACCGTGCTGCTCGATATTTCACCTTTTGAAACTAAAGCATTAACAATAAACTCTAGTGCTGCTTGATCTCCAATATTCGAATCTATGGCAAGGTTCAAAAGCTGTTTTGCCGTGTCAACTGGATTTTTCCTTATGTAGATTGAAATAAAGGCATTCTCCACTGCTTCATAGATGGACTTATCCTGAGAAAAGGCCTGAAGAGATGACAGAAAACAAGGTTTTTAGCACAATGTATGAAGGGGACGTTAGCTAAAAAACTGTCGGAAGTATGTGTATTTTTGAGTTACGATACATGATAAGAGACCATACCAGAGGCAGAATTTTACGGAGACAAGCTTCTGCACCATCAATTTGGAACTGCTTACACCTCATCAACAACAGAATAGCATTCTCAACATCACTGGCAGACGATGAAGCCATTAATTGAACGAGGATCGCCATACTAACTGACATGCACTTTGAGAAACTCAATCCAGCTTCTAGGGAAGCAATCAAGGCCTTGGTCTGCTCGAGGTTACCAATATCTGGAACAGAAACAACCTTCTCACTGTTTTCTTCCCCATTCTCTGGCTGACAGCTATCAGGTAGGCTATCTTGATGGGTCTTATTTGTAACTTCAAGTTCCAAGTCATCAATTTCACCATCTCCATTACAGGAGTCACCATCTGAAGTTGGCTCTTTTGATGAGTCCTCAGTAGCGAGGTTTGGTTCAAGCTCGTTCAATTTTATTTTATACTGCTCCAGGGTTGCTTCAAATGAAGCTATCCGAAGCTGTGGACCAAAGGGGTTATGTTGCAACATTGTGATCAGTAAATTCAATGCGGATTTTCTAACAATTGCACTCTTATCTTCCAGTCTTCCAGCAGATATTGATGCAACCTCGTTCCATAGGCCAATCGAAACAGAATGCTCTTCACACAGTTCAGCCCAAACCTGAAGAACTCGGCTCCTTGTATAGGCTGAAACATCTCTACACCGTTCGAGCAAAATTTCCAACATTGCTTGCTTAGTTCGCAGGCGAAGGGACTTGGAACTCATATCTCCCTCGGCCTCATCAAATGCTTTTGCAACTAATTTTCCAAGAACACCAACTAGTGCGTTTCTTATCTTGTATGATTCACCACCAAAATGAGGGACTAAAACTCCAACATTTGTTGACATTAGTTTTGGCAAACGATCAGCAAGCTCGACCAAAAAACGTCCCACATTATCAGCCCCAACTGTATCTTTAACATAGGCTTTAGGGTCGGTCCTCCCAATCTCTCTAATGATTGTCACGGCCAAGGTACCATCTGAGTACTTACTTTCAGCTCTAGCAACTGCATCAGCAACGTGTACAACAGCGAAATCATATTTGTGTATCAAGTGCATGATCGAGGCACATGACTGCACAATGTAACGGTACTTTGTAGCAGATGCACCTATGATCCGACACAGGGCATCTTTTGCCTCAGCATCTTTTAAGATTGCAGCATTCTCAAAAAGAGAGAACGAGTTTCTACAAGGGAATAATATAAAGAAGTTATGAGAATGTACCTTTAACATAAAATATCCAAAGATAAACCAGATTCATTAGGTCACAGAAATTACTTGACAATGAAAGAAAGGTAATTCTCGTCTAGGTCCGATGATCCAAAGAGCAAGGATAGGTTGATCTCAAGAGAATTCGCAATCAAGTTGAGCATCCTACCCCTCTGAGGTTCCCAATTCCATGACTGGATAATTTGTTTTTTCCTTCCTCGTGCTGCCACCTTGTTCATCCACAACAACACTATAGTAAAGGCGACGATAAGAGATGAATTCTATTCTGTGTGGTACATAATTAGCTGGAAAAAGAGAAAACACCTTTGTGCTGTCGACTGAGCTGATGTGTGATTCTTCAGTCATAATAATAGTGAGAAGAAAGAAAGTGTAAATTTTCAAGGCATTGCGATGTGATGTGATCCTATCAATGATTGGAACCTCATCCTCCTGATCCTGGACAGATCGGGAGATCGAATCGACATTGGGAAGAAGAACACTTAGATTGGACCGAAGGCTTTCTACAAGATTACACTTGCAAGACGGAGGAAGACTATAGAAGCTCCTGATCAAAGAGTAGACACGATCAAAAATATCTTGATCTTCGATACAGAAGAGTTCTCTATCAGATAGGTCAAATGATACACCTGTTCCACAAGAAGTCAGTCAACTAAAATGCTTCACATATCAATTCAACAAGAGCTTTGAGTGAAGTCTCAATTTTTATTTGCTTTCCCTTTCTGACGCAATAAACACCAACGTATGTAAGCTATTGAAAGAAACTAACTTTGGGAGACCAACATATTCATATCAAACATAGCCCAATTTACGCTCTTTAACTTCAAAGTATGATACCAAACATCGTAATGAACATACTTAGAATTTGACCACTTTCCAATAGAGGCAGAGAAGAAATTCGAGCTTCCACACATAGCCAGATACGCACAATATGAAATTTCTCTCTTCTTCAATTCATCAATCTCATATCGCTCAGCTTCACTTATACACACGAATTGGGGCTACCTATCGACCCAAATGAAGACTCGAGTGACCAATGACTATCTTCACAATCCAATATCTGTCTCAAATTGCAACTTAAATATAATCTAAAGCCTCTCGGAATGAACTAATTATGTAGTTCAACGGTTGCTTCTCTATCGAAATTCTCGAAAATCAGAACAGAAAATGAAGAGAACAAATTACGCTCATAAATTGTAGAAACAAAGATAACCCGAAAAAGTATTACCTTTGACGAACTCTTCAAGATCGGAAGGGCGAAGAGAGGTCACATCGACGGTATTTTGAGCGAACAATCGATGATTGTCTTCCGGATCTTCTTCTAGGGCTCGAAGGATTTGGGGGAAAACAAAGGGAGGAGCCATTTTCTAGAGAGAGAAACTGAGCGACGTTGCTCGGAGAGGAAGGAGAGAGAGAGAGGTTGGCCTTTTGGCGAGATGGGATTTCAAAATGAAATTGAAAAAGGCAACGGAGCGGGAATTCATGGAGCACCATATCGGGTCGGGTTCCTAATACGAATCCGGGTCGGATCTCATGGTTTTTTCCTCAATTATTTTATTTTCAAAAAATTAAGTATTCGACACCATTGAAGACTATGCGGCTTGACTGGCCCAGATAGGGACGTAGCTGGTGGAATCAACAAATAAAATGAAAACACGTGGAAAGCTCTAAATGGTTGAAGGATCTTGAACGTACACGAATCTTCTTTGATTTTTCATTTTCCAAGCTTGATCCTTTAATGGCTTCTCTTCTCCGGCCAATCATTTGAGCTAATCTAACACAAGAGAAAGAGTGAGAGAGAGAGAAACTCTGAGATGGCGATGCCGCTGGGAGTGGCGACGTATCTGATGAGAATGGTGTGGTTTTCTCTGACCGGTTGGGTATTCACTTGCTTGTCTATCGCCGACGAGATCGCTGGTTCTCTCAGAAACGGAGATATTGGTCCTTTTCATGTCGGATGATCGATTCGAGATTCCTTTACTCTCCTTTATTTGCGTATATGTTCTTTTCCCCAATTTTTACGTTTTTTTTTTGCTCACTTGTTTTCGATCAGCGTCGCTTCTAAATTAGAAATTGTTAATAGAGATGACTGAGATAGGTCAAATTTTCTCGAATATTGAACAATTGGACGTGGATGTGATATACATGTCTCAGTTGCTCAGTGTGTGTAGGTGTGGAGTCCACTGTGGACTAATGTTCTGCTTCGTATATGAGACTAAATCTTTTGGATTCCATGGATGTTGATGATGCTTGTTTCCTTATGATCCTAATCGAGAGTTTATAGATTCCAATTTGGTTGTTGTTGTTGTGATCAGCAGCAACTCAGGGATGCAAAATAATGCCACTTGGTGTTTTAATGTTCTTGTGATGATATAAATTATTATGCTAAGATATTTTCTCTGTTCTCCACATGTTACAGCTAATTACATTAGCGTTGGCTTAAACAGTTCAAGAGTTTCCGACATATACAATGCCGACATAAGTCTTAGCTATTTAAGTTCAGTTAACAAAACTTTACTTGAGGTCAAGTCATGTTTTACCATCCCAAGATCACCTTTAAGTATCCTTTTTTTTTTTTTCTCCTTGGCTTACCACTCATTTCATTGTAGGCAGAATAAACACGTTTTGCATTCAGTCAGGCCTTTATGATTTCACGAAGGGCATGTTCTACTCTGCAATCAATCTGCAGAGAACACGAGCGCACGCCATTTGAACTGCTATCAAATCTTCTCTCAGTCAAGGTTCTAAGTATCAAACATTTTGAGAGAGAGAGAGAGAGATATCATAAGACAGCAGAGCATAGCAGATAGCTGCGGTATATATTTCTCTGTATAGTATATGTAGAATTCCAGACTATAATTGACCTCATACTTGTGATAAATAATTGAGCTTTTTTATTTCAAAGTTTTTTTAGCCTCTTCAGCTTTGGATTTGGTTTATTTATCATTATGATGCCTGAGTTGAATTTTTTTATTTTATGGTTTTATATATAACTTCTTTAATGAAAAAATTGATTCAACTAAACCGTACTGAACAGCATATTTCCAAGGTTTTTTTCATCATGCAAACCAACATGTAACAGCAAATCACCATACTTTCTCGTGGGAGTTCGAATCTACAGCAAGGTCAATGAATTGTATCAGTCACCCAACCACCTTTTAAGCCACTAGAAGCATTTGGTCCAAAAAATAAAAAGGAACTAGAAGTGATTTGCAGGTTAAAAAAACATATTGAAACAATAATGTGCTTCACTCCAAATCAACTAAGGAAAAGTTATTATAACACATTAAATTATGGTCCAAGATCTTGATAACACGTATATACTAGAAACTTTCCCTACCATCGATTACATTATTCACATGGATACTCTGTCTAGGTCGTATTTGTAAATTTTCCTTTTTTTGGGTCTAATTCTAAATATATTGCTGAACCTTTTTGAAAAATAGTGCTATATTTATGGCTTTAAATTTCTATTTATAACATATTAATATCTTTCTTTTTTTGGTCAACAATCTATATTCTTGCATCAATTGGATTTGTAAATCATTTTTTTCATATTTTATTTTATCAAAAGGAAAAATTTTAATATTATCTTCTATGGTCTAAAATAAAAGTAATTTAGCAAAAAGTTTTGAATTGACAAAGATAAATGCTATATATTTTATTACATTACATAATTTTAGAAACAGAAGTTATTATAAAGTCTTTTGAAAAGGAGATGTCAATATTTTGATGAATTTGATGAACTTTTCTTTTCTCCTATCTTGTTTTAGTACTAATAGAAAAATAAAATAAAGATTGCAGTTATGTGGATCATGACCTTTATATTTAATTTTTCTCATTTTCTAATTTGATTCTTGGTTCTTCTATATCTTGTAAACGAAACTTCAGCATTCGTTCCTCAATCAAAATCAAATCGAAATATCGGTGTCCGAAAGATCAACATCACCATCGTTCCTCTGCCATTAAATTTCACCATCTTCCACCTCCAACTGCACTAGACAGCTATTCTCCACCTTCCTCCCTATCTCTCTAGCTTTCTCCTTCTGTTCTCTATCACCCAAAAAAAAAAGATCTTAGAATAACCCAGAAAGAGGAAAGTAACGAAAACACCATTCAAAGTCAAGTGTTTGTTTAATTCGACTCAAAATGGGTTCTTCTGCTTCGAAAACAGCTTCTTCCGCTTCTTCTACGTCTTCCTCCGCTACGGTTTCTCCACCGACGACGAATTTCGCATCCGATTTCCCTTCGCCGGCGGTTCAGAGAGCTTTCTCTTTTCCGACGCCGTTGGTTCACCATCCTCCGGCTAGAAAAGGCGACACTCATCACCTCGTCTCCCTCACATCTACCTCGTACGGTTCTCTTCTCCTCATCGATCTCGACGGATCCAAAAACTCCTCCGACCAACAGACGCTTCCCCGTATCTCTGTCCCCGGAAAGAGCACGCCAGATCCGGTTTCACGCGACTCGTTCTCCCCTGACTCAGTCATTAACACATGGGAGCTTATGGACGGCTTGGACGACGAATTCGAATTCGAAATTCCCAAACCTGGTAAGCTTGATTCCAGTCTAAATTCGGGTTTTTGCACTAAACCCGACGCGAATCGGAATGTGGGTCTAAGTGGGTCTGCGTTGAAATTGGAGGAATCTTACGAATTTGTGAGAATCGAACAAGACGAAGAAGATTGGGTCCCGTTGTCTTATAAACCTAAGCAACCTCTGTGGAAGCATCTTTCTGAAGAATCATTTTTATCTGGTTTAGATCCTAGCATTGTCTCATCTTACAAGAAAGCTTTGTCTTCTAAGCAATTAAGCAGTCATAGTATCAATGTCGACACTAGAAACCCTATCAGACCCACAAAGTCCCTCTCTTGCAGCCCAACAACATCAAAACCAGCCATCTTGATCAGCGAACCAACATCTGTATGCTCTAGTCCACTGAGTTCTCAAGCCAAACCAAGATTACAAGAAACAGAAGACAAGATTGTACTCTACTTCACTACACTCCGAGGAATTCGAAAGACGTACGAGGATTGCTGTTGCGTTAGAACGATATTGAGAGGGCTTCAAGTAACGGTAGACGAACGCGACATCTCAATGGATTCCAAATACAGGAAAGAGCTTCAAAGCCTGCTTGGCTCTGCAGAGAAACCTGTTTGTTTGCCTCAGGTGTTTATCAGAGGAACCCACATTGGTGGCGTCGAGGAGATTCTGAAGCTAAACGATGATGGTGAATTAGCAGAGATGTTGAAAGATTTCCCTGCTTGTGAATGCCAGGGGACATGCCGGAGCTGTGGTGATGCAAGGTTTGTGCCTTGTACTAACTGTGATGGTAGCACCAAAGTGTTTGAGGAGCAAGACGAACGGTTCAAGCGGTGTCCGAAATGCAATGAGAATGGATTGGTGCGTTGTCGCGAGTGTTGCCTCTAGGCAATATCTTGGATCAGAAAGCTGTGTCCTGTGTGGGTGAAAAGGGGCTTAGATTGATCGTGTGAATTGTGAAAGAGAAGAAGAGAGAGTGTTATTGTACATTGCAATAAGAAATGGCTCAAGGCTAATCATTATTACTCTGTTCTCTTGTGTGGGTGCTGTGTTCTTTTGTTCCTTATTTGTTCTTGCTCTTAGACACTTTTAACATTTTAAACTAAATGATTATTACTATATTATTACAAGTACATAAAATGTTTGTTGATGATTGGTAATTCGCATTATCGCTCAATGGTGTTTTTTATTTATGGATAAAAATTACTGTTAGGCAGTTCTGTCTTCTAACTTTCCAAGTTTACATTTCTCGGTTCATAATTAGACTTAGATCGATCGATAAATATAATTAAAATATTGACTTTATAACAGTAGTTAAGGACTTCCTTCATTGAAACGACACCGTTTCTAGTCCCCTTAAAATCCGTCACTGTACTCAAGCTTGCTCAGATAGCTAGGGAGAGAAAATGGAGGGGAAAGGGAACGAGAAAGCTCCGGCTACGGGTTCAGGTTCGGGTCCGGGTTCGGGTCGGGGTATGTGTCTGAGCAAGTACGAGGATCCAATGAGTGAAGAGAGTCATAGATACTACCTTGCGAGGCGGAATGCTTTGATGATGCTCCGGGACAGAGGCTACGAAGTTTCCGCCGAAGATATCAATCTCTCCCTCCAAGATTTTCGAACTGTTTACGGCGAACATCCCGATGTAAACCGTCTCCGTATCTCAGCTCAGCTTCGCTCCGATTCTTCCAAAAAGGTATTATCAAGCTTTTGCCTTTGCATGTTGGGGTTTTACTGTTTGGATGCGAAGAAAGTGGCGGAAAATCCAAAATCCGGAATATTTCCGCTGCTTTTGTCTTCGAATTGAAGTTATATGTGTTAACTTTTGTGGATTCGGATTTGACTAAATCTACTTTGGTTTGTTTTTTTTGCAGTATGATATACCCTTAATCTATAGAGCTTAGTTTCTGTAATGCATGTCACTGTCTCCAATTGATATAAGTATAACTACTACTGTATGTCCCTTATCATTTATCAAGTAGTATGTCTCATCTGTTTGTCCTCTGAAACTTTGTAATTTGAAGTTTTTCTGGTAAAAACTTAACAAGTGACAAGTGATTCTTAGATCTCTGGCTCTGGCTAATGAAGATTTTTGTGACGGAGTGTGAGTTGTGATACCAAATTGCAAAAGACCGGTGAAGTTGATTATTTTGTTTAAAGTCTTACCCTTTTTTTGTTGGTTGGTTCATTTCATGTCGTCACTGATTTGCTTTCATAACTAGTAGGAAACCGCCTTTCTATTATGATTTTTTTTTTGTCAAGTAGTTGCTTATGCCTTTGGTTTCTTTTGTAACAGCGGAATTCATATATATTCGCAATGCTTCTTACATCATCTCTTGTCTTATGGTTATGGCATAACGACAGATATCTCATTTTGATCCTCCGGACATAATAAGAGTGTTGGTTTAATGGGTCTGGTTCAACAAGTTTTGTGGTTTTGGTTTTTCAGGTCAAGGTTGTCTTTTTTGGTACTGGCATGGTTAAAGTCAACGCAATCCGTACTGTTGCAGCAGATGTACTTAGCCAAGAAACCATATCCGGGCTGATAATGGTTCTGCAAAACCACGTAACCAATCAAGCATTGAAAGCCATTGAACTTTTTTCTTTCAAGGTCGAGATATTCCAGGTACATATACAGATAACTTCTTCCTGATCTAGGTTTTGCTGCGATAACTTCAAATCTGTAACACCTACTTTCCTTCTCGGCTGTCTTGTTAAGATAACCGACTTGCTAGTCAACATAACCAACCATGTACTTAAGCCGAAACATCGGGTTTTGAATGATAAAGAAAAGACAGCACTTCTCAAGAAGTTTAATATCGAGGAAAAACAGGTGCAGTATCTCTCTTGGAGCTTAAAAACCTTGGCTTATGATTATTAACTCAAGCTTCTTAGCTTTCTAACTGTTCTTTCGAAAATTAATTTTGATAGCTTCCTCGGATTTCAAAGAAAGACGCCGTTGTGCGGTACTACGGACTAGAGAAAGGGCAAGTTGTGAAAGTGAATTACAGAGGCCAACTCACAGAGTCACATGTTGCCTACCGTTGTGTGTGGTGAAGTAAACCAAATTTTTGTTTTTAACCATTTTGAGTGTAGTTATTTTCAGCAAAACTTTTCCTTGGTTTTATTCTTCATCCTAGAAGATCCTTTGCTGTAAACCCACGATAAAAATTTAGTAAACAAAAGAAGATCCTTTGCTTGTTCTTGAAAATGTTTCCATTTTTGTCTTTCCTTAAAAAGAACAGTATCTATACGTTATCGAAACACAAAAAGCCAGCCATGGAGACTCCACCATTAGTGATTCATCAGAGTTTCGGAGACGGGCAAAGCTCGTTGATGGATCGGTTCGAGCGGTTATCATTCGAGGCTCACCTCAACAAAGCCTTGCTTGGTCGGAGCCTATCCGAGTCCGGTTTCTCTTCGATGTACAGTGCGGTCGTCCTCGATGATTCCCCAATACGTACGGAGGATCAGGCTTGCCACAAAGTCCGAAGAGGATTAGGTGTGAATAAGATACTGAAAAATCTGATGAAACCAATTAGATACTGTAGCAGAAAAATCGGCGGAGGAAGAAAGCAAGAGGCGTACGATTTAGATGCCCGGAGTTTTAAAAAGTGGCAAACTTTCAGCAAATCTGTCCGATTATTTTGAGTTTTTAATGCACTTGTGTATCTTTGTCATGACAAGATAACTAACTACATTACCTGTTTTGGGGGTGTGCTTAGGTCAGCAGTTTTTTTTTTCTTGTTTCGTAGGAAATAGAAATCTACTAAGCCAACGGTCGAGATTAGTTTTTAAAGTTTAATCCAAAGGTTGTGATTTATTGCCATTCAATTCAGTAAAGCAAAAGATACTCTGCCTACAACATGTGCGACAGACTCAACAAAACCCCTTGCGAGTGCTCAATAAAAAAAAAAAAACTTTCTTACTTACAATATTGAAGTCTTGTTTTTTCCCCTACGATTCACAAAATTTGTGTGTTCTGCTTCTCCGTTTCAAACGTATCGGTAAGTCTCGCATCCTAATCTTATCGAATATATTGAAAATCCCATATTTGTTTTCAAATCAGGAACTGATTACATCTCTCGTCTCCCCAGAATTTTCTGCCTCGCATCGAAATCTGAAGTGAAGGTTCTAAGTTCTAAGTTTTTCTTTGGTTTTCTAATTGTGGTTGCAGCTGAGTTAAGTGGAAGAGAGAGAGCTACAGAGAGAGAGGCTTTGTTGAAGGTAATCAGCAGACCAATTAATAAACTTCACAGAATAGTTAAACTCTTCATACCACTTGATCAAGAAAAGATGTCTTCTAATCCAACGGATTAAATGTTCAACCCTCTCTCATAATAAAGTATGTAGCCTATGCGTGGTTTCTTTGATACACATACATAGATTTTGGCTTCTGAGTTGCTGGTCGTTGGATTCAAAATTGGATATGCTTTTATTATATTTAGGTTCTTCACTCATTATTATGTTTCTGATTTTATTCTGATTTTTTCCTAAGGTTTTGTGGTTTGCGTATGCAAATAGCAGTAAAAGTGTAGGACAGAGTGCAGATAGCTGGTTAGAGATAGCAGAAGAAAGCGAGTAACGTAAAAATCTATATGTTCTCGGAAACACCTTCATTTCATTATACAGCATAGTCCGAATCATCTTCTTCTTTCTTCGGTAAGTAACGTTCATCAATTTTTCATTTTTGACCTACGTCACTCTAATCTGTCTCACAAGGCAATGCTTTTAGCCATTTGCAATCATAAAAATTAACTTCACGACACATTTATTATAGTTATCTTTAGCGCTTCTTTTCTTTAATGGTTCTCATAAGTGTTATTGCTAATTCCTCAGGCGAGAGTTGTAGTCGTATGGGAACCTAAGCGAAAAAAAGGAACTTGTGGCAGGCAAGGATCAGATGCATAGTAGCTCCATCCCCGCTTGTGACCCTGAAAAGCTGCAAGACAAGGCTCCCGAGAAGCAGAGCGAGTCTGCCAAGGAAGTGAACCTCACGATTGTTGTCTGCAATGGAGATTCTAGTCGAGCACATGAAACCGCAGAATTGGCTCAGGTCTCCGTGCCACTGCCAGTGGAGAAGGAAGAGTCCCCGAAAAAGGCCTGCTTGTCCAGGAATGCCAGCTCTCACGAGCAGTGTAGGTCTGCTTCCTTCCTTTTCTTATCAGGAGACTAATTTTGACAGTTCCAAGAATGTGAATTCTCTTCTTACTATGTTTCCTAGGAATAATGTCTGCTTTGGTATATAGGTTAATGGGTTTTTGTCTTGCTCATTACTCTTTTGCTGTGATATGTTTGTCTGTTATAATCAAGTTATGAACATGGTTTAACTGAATCAGGCTCATTGGTCGTTGCTCTCTCTCTTTTTTGATAAATAGGGTTTGCCAACAAGAGAAAGAAGAGGCTTTGATTGAACTGGGGTGCCAATGTCGTGGTGGAATTTCTAAAGCACATAGAACATGCATAGATGCGTGGTTTCGGACAAAAGGCTCTAATCAGTGCGAGATCTGTCAGTGAGTAGACATTTCCTCGTTTGCTTGAGATTCAATTGGAGGAGAGACTATGCTTATTTGGTGCTACAATTTTCTCTGTTTCTGCAGGGCAGTAGCTGTCAACGTGCCACCTCCAGAGACCCAACCAACTGTAAGTACATTATTTCTTGGAACAAAGAAAAGATATTTATAGCTTGTGTAGTTGTAATACATGATGCACGCTGTTTCTGCCTTTTGAGCAGACAAATTACTGGGTGTGGAGGATTGATCCAAGCTATAGACAAGAACAGCGTGAAAGAGTAAGTGTGTCTATTAGTAGCCATTTGGATTGAAGAGTCTGGTTTTTTCTCTTGTGTAAAGATGGCAAGTGTTCTCGTGTCATGGCAGGGATGTTTCAGTCCACTCTGGGTAGCATTCTCTATTCTGATAGGCGGTCTAATGCTGGATGTGTTAATATCCATCACACTCGGTGTGTCTGCGCTCCCGGTTAACATAATCATTGGTACGTTTGTTTTGTCAATGTAGCTTAAGTTGGTTATATGGTTGCTAGTGATTGAGTAAGTTTGTTGAGATCTCGGGTTTTGCAGGAGTGATAGTGTTGCTAGGGCTAGGAACAGCGTTAAGGCTGACTTTGGAGTTCTGCTACGAATGGAGCTTGAGAAGAGCGGTTCAAAGGGCGGTGCAGAGGAGCGCTGAATCAAACTTTAATAATATTGCATACCCTCCTGCCTTGTAGTTGTGGGATATGTGCACTTGTTGAAAAAACTCTCTGTGTATGTAAAAGTTGTGTTGTGTGAGACTTGTGATTATTTTACAATGCTGAATTTGTTGGGAGCATCACTTTGCCTCTTCTTTTTCTATAGCTCAAATGTTTACAAGTACAGTAACAAACCCAACATATTTTTGGGTTTCTCTGATACATTTCTCCTTTCTCTCAGCATGAACCATATAAGTAAAGACCATCAAATTTGGTATTGTTTGGCCCTAACCACAATAAATGTAGTTCTAACCAATAGTAGGGGTTCTACTGGAAAAATAAAAGATATGGGATAAAGATGGGGTAGATCTAAAATACAGGGTCTTGTTAATAACTTCGACTTCAAGGGATAAATATTTCTCCTTCCCCTGAACTTGGGGTACAAGTCCACCCTCCCTCCTTTAAGAATAAAGAGAGAAGAAACGGAGACCGCGTGAACGGTGTATCAAAGTTAGAATCGCTTCAATGGATGCTAAGATCGGACAATTCTTTGACTCCGTCGGTTCCTTTTTCAGCGGCGGCGATAAGATCCCTTGGTCCGACGGCGATGTCATCGCTGTAAGTTTCCTCTCTCCTTCTTCGGTTCCGTTTTTGTCCGCCTATGGTTTCAGAAGCGAACAACAATCTACTAGTAGGATGGAATCACGAGCTGTATTACGGAAATTAGAACTGTAATCGTGCTATTTTGTGAAATCGGGTTTTATTTCCCGAGGGTTAGTCGGTCCTTGGTCAGATTATTTTTTGGGAATTCGGAAGTTTTGAATCGAGCTTTAGAAGTTTATGAATTGTGAATATCGTCTTCAATTGAGCGTGATTGCTGATTATTTGCACCTTTCGTTGGATCCTTTCACTAGAAATGCGAGTTTGTTAACTGTAGAACTTTACTAAATGTCACAGAATCATAGTTTTACTTTTTGTCTTCTTTAATCTTCAAGCTCACCAGCTAAAACCTGTTGTTTTGATGGCAGGGATGTGAAAGAGAGGTTCGAGAGGCCACAGATGCTGGCTCTGAAGAACTTAAGAAAGAGTGCCTAATGCGCTTGTCGTGGGCTCTCGTTCATTCCCATCAAACCGAAGATGTGCAACGCGGAATAGCCATGCTTGAAGGTAGTAACACTCCTATCTTATTCTTTTGCAAACCATGGCCTGAAAGTTTTCCGGTTTTGTTTCAAACTTAAACACGATTTCGACACAGAAAGCAGAAGCTTTCTTTTCTTCTGCATCATAATTCATGTAAACATGAAGACTGATAAAAATGTTGTTGTTGCAGCATCTCTTGCAAACAGTGCTCCTCCTCTAGAGGACCGAGAGAAGCTCTATTTACTTGCTGTTGGATACTACAGAAGTGGGGATTACTCAAAGAGCAGGCAGCTTGTTGACCGCTGTATCGAGGTTTTCATCCACTTCCCAACTCTTTTTCTTTATACATTGTTTCATCCGCTGTATTTTGACTCTGCTTATATAGTATATGTATGTGTGCACCTTCTTTCCCTCTTTGACGAATGGTTTGGTTTCATAGATGCAACCCGATTGGAGACAAGCTTTGGTCCTAAAGAAGACCATAGAAGACAAAATCACAAAGGGTAAGCCACTCTTCAAACAAAAACACAAAACTTATTCACAAGAAATGAAAGTTCTAGGGACTGCGAATGTTACTAACAAAATCACAGAGTTGCTAAATTGTATTTTTTTTTTTTTTTTAATTTTGGTTTGTATTCTCAGATGGTGTTATAGGGATAGGCATCACGGCTTCAGCTGTGGGAGCCGTTGGTCTCATAGCTGGTGGGATTGTAGCAGCGCTGGCTCGCAAGAAATGATGACCACGATCCTCACTTCTTCCTTGTGTATACATTAGCTACTTGCTTTTATAACTCTTCTTCTTCCGCTTTTGACAATTTTCTCTCTGCCTGCTTGACATATTGAATAATTTTGCGGAGTTTTGTAATACAGAAGCTTGAGTTGGATTTTTCATCTTTATTGGGTTATTTTTATAACTTTTGCGTATAAACATGTTGCTATCTTAATCTTGAACTTGACTATGATCCAACTCCAAAGTTGGCTAAGCTCTCTTTTGTCAAAAACTTATCAAAAAGAAAACAACGTTGACCAAAATCCCTTAGAAAATACTCCTAAAAACTTGACCAAAATATTCCTTTAGTTCCTTCTGAAGCTACGCCGTTTAGTGTTTTACAGAAATGATGCGTTTTGTCCATCTTCCTACTTACTGCATCTTCTTCACTCGGGTCGTGCGTGATTTCTGAATTCTAATTGTCAAAAAGAAAACCCTAAATTCCCGCTTCTTCTCGGCCTTTCTCAATTCGTCTGGTTTTTTTTTTCATCCTTGCGGCTTATTCAGGACAAAACCTTCCGCCAACTCGGCTTTGATAGTTTTTGGGTGTTGTTTCTTGCTGCCGCCACAGCTTGTGCTATAGCATTGGGGAAATTTGTGTTTCATTTCTTGAAGGAGAAGCCAGATCAAAGAAACCCACCACGACCATTGTGGGATAGATTCCTTGAGCCAGATCAAAATTCATACATAAACAAAGTGACGAAACGTGAATTCTCCTCAATCCCAAGCGTGCCAGAGAATAAACCTGAAGAAGCAAACTCATCAAACAATGGCAGTCAAAACTAGCACCTACTTCATTTTCCTTGCAATAATAATAACCATATGTTTGTTTATAGGAATTGTCTGAAATTCCAAACAAAAAGACACATTTCCTTGGTTCCTGATGATCATTGTCTACTGTGATATATAAGGTTTTAGATTCTGCTCTCGTTATGACCTACCTATAAAGTATAAACACCATAATAGCTAATTAGCAAAAATTATGCATTCAAAAGAAAAAGGCGCAAGGAAAGAGCTTGTTACAGAGGAAAATTTACCCTTAGCTCGATTCGTTTCCAGAAAACCACCAAAGTCAAACATTCGGCGCAGTATAAACCGCCAGACTCTACACCGAATCACTCACCGAAGAACCGAAATCGAAGCATTTCAATAACAAGAACAACAATCCAGAGGAAAAATAGAAGCAGAATTTATACAAAAAAAATAATAAAATAATAGAAGCAGAATTTTTGGTCGATCCAAGTCCATTTCGTTTAGCAACGGAAACGCTTATTTTGTCAACAATAAACTCTATTTTTTTTTAGAAAAAAAAAAGACATTAAGTGGGCCAAACGGCCCATTAGAATCAAAACAAATAATCCTTATTTCTCGTATAAATTGGTAGCCTTGCAATTGATGAAAACCCTAAGCGTCGATTGCCAAAGCCGTTTTTCTCTTGTGTTCGTAGTCGACCTGAGAAGATGAAGGTAGAGTCATTTTGCTCATTTTTTCAAAACCAAGAGAGTTCGAAAGTCACTCGAAGAAACACCAGGTCTTCATCTTCTGTTACTGTTGAGAACCCAGAACCCAATGAATCCCACCAACCAACCGTTGATGATCTCACATTTGGAGAAGAATCAATCACTTTGGATGCTCTTCTCTCTGATTTTCCAGGCAGACGCTCTCAGATTCTTGACCTGATTCGTCTTATCGGCCCATTGGATTGCCCTTCCTTTCCAATAATGGTCTATGGAGACGCTTCTACTGGAAAAACCAGTGTTGTTCTTCAGGTGTTCAGGCATCTCAATCGCCCCTTTGTTTATTCAAGCTGCCGTACATGTTACAGTCCACGTCTCTTGTTTGAGTCGGTTCTGAATCAGCTGTTGCTGCATAGCAAGTGTTCTTCAAATGGGTATTCTAGCGCAAAACGATGTGACAAGCCATCTGATTTTGTCAACTTACTTCGTCAAGCTCTCAGCAATGTGATGGAAACTCTAGACTCTAAATCCGGAACCTCAAGATCAAGTAAGCCGGATGGAAAACCTGTGGGGAAGATGGTGTATCTCATACTTGATCATGTGGATCTTATCAAAGAGTGGGAAAAAGGCACTATGATTCTGCAGTTTCTTTTCAGTTTGTATTCTGTTTTGAAGATGCCTCAACTTGGTATAATTCTCATCAGCGGATTGCCACCAGATGTTTATTACTCAAACATGGGATACACAGACCCTATACCTGTTTATTTTCCTGTGTATTCTCAAGAGGAACTTCATCAAATTTTCTTGAGAAACCAAGCTAACCGGGATTTATACTCCGCATTCCTCGAGTAAGCCCCTATAGTATAACCTTACCTCCCTATTTGCTTTATCTAAGCTTCACTCATACTAACGAAGTTTTTTTGGTGTCAAACAGTTCTGTATTGAAACCTTTTTGTAGGGTCACGAGGAGAGTTGACGAACTTTCCACTACCATCTCATCATTGTTCAGAAAGTATTGTGAACCGCTTGATGATTTAGGGCTTTCACCGAGTGAAGATCTGAAGAGAAGGCTGTATAACCAACTTAAACCGCTTATTGCTCCTTGTTTAAATGAGATATTCAGGGTCTCAAGTCGCCCTAATGATGGCGACAACAGAGGCGAGAGAAGGCAGAAAGCCAGCTGCAGCTCTGAAAACCGTGAAGAAGTTGAAAAATTAGACTTCCATATGTCTACTTCAGCAAAGTATCTTCTTATTGCGGCGTTTCTCGCTTCAAGAAACCCAGCAACGCTGGATGCGTCGATGTTCGACTCCACAGGGGGCATGGATAATCGTAAAAGAAAGCGCAAGTAAGTTATATCAAACTCATTGTTTCTTTTTTGACGTATTGCTTAGTAGAAAATGATTTGATTCAGTGAGTTTGATAGTAAGCCTAGTAAAAATACGTAATGGTAATGGTGGTGTGTTCTCGTGATGCATTTGAATAAAAGAATCTGTTTTTTTCCTTCTCAGGGCCTCAGAGAAATCGATGGAAAAGAAGGAAATTGCAGAGCAGGAAGCAGTCATGAAAGGGCCGGGAAGCTTTCCATTGGAGAGACTATTGGCGATATTCCAGTGTATTGCCTCTGTAGGAGATTCTTCATTTGGCGAAGAGGAAGAAGGAAAAGAAGAAGAAGAAGAAGAAGAAGAAGCGACGGGTTACGACAGAGAGAATAACAACCTGATGTCTGATGTTCTGCTTCAAGTCTCAAGTCTTTGTGATGCAAACTTTATAACAAAAAGTGGAAGCTGCCCATTAGAAGGTTCTGTTAGATACCGATCCATGGTGTCTGAAGATCTGGCTCTCAAGGTAACAAAAACTTGATTTGCAAGTATTGAGTCGTTGTATATCATAGGGGGCGATACAGAGATTAATGTTGATGTTTTCTCTTATTTTGGTATATAGGTTGCGAGAAGTCTCAGGTTTCCACTGTCCAAGTACTTGTACAGAAGATAATGTGTGAAATCCAAAAGCTTTTGAGGAAGAAACTACTCTCGATGCGTTAAAACACTCGAAGCAATGGCCCAGACAGCTATGTTGTTCTGTTAATGTCTGCATTTTGTGTGTGTGTGTGTGTGTGTGTAAACTTAGCCATGGTTTTAACTTTTAACACAGGAGGCTAAAGCTTTTGATGGAGAAAACTGAGCCTTGGCCATAAGTCTAAAAATGTAAATGAAAAGCCTTAAAATTATATATTAGTCGACATAATTAAAAGCAAGACATGGTCCCATTGCACATATACAAGTTTGGTCACCAAGTAGTCTATGGTGATCCCCATTTATCTTATCTAACCTTCAAAATATTCCAAACATGCAAATTGTTCGGCCTTCAATCTTGGGAAGCTTTTTGGCATCATAGAAATCTTCCATCGTAGACCTTTTCCCTCTGAAATTACAGTACCCACATCTCAAGCTTTATAAATATTCATTAATCAAGACGTATAACAAGAGAAGCGTCCATAAGATTATAGACGACAACAATATTGCATGACTAAACGAACCCAAAAAAGAACAAACCATTAAAGGAAAAGCCCTAACCAAGAAAATAAGAAGAAACAAAAACAAAACCAGGAAGTAGGTGTGACTTATATGATGTTAGAGTGTCGTAGGGGTCCACACTAGGGGATGCTAGGTCTATCTCTACTACTACCTCCCAATTTCAGTCCTAGTCTCAGATGGAAGTCTCTCTTCAAAGATTCAGAGACCCCATGTTAGCCATTGACTGCATACGTGGTAGTTATTTCTCCATCTCATTTAATTAGTGGAAGGTGGAAAATCATCTCCAATAGGGATAGGCAGGATAAAATAATGAAAAGAACAAAAATAAGCCTTTCAGTTTTTTGTTTCTGAAACAATTTTGATTTCTTGCAGTTTTTTGCATGACCACATTAATTGGCTTTGTATACATTTAAAATGGAAAAGATCGATTCAAAAAGTATATGATACACATATATGTGCATTTTCATTGTCTATGACCTTTTATTGGATATACGTTTACCAAATTTTTGTGACCACCATATATCATCATTATTATATTTAATTACCAGTACTTCCCTTTTTTCTACATTTGGAAAATCTATATGAGCATATTTATTGTCTTTGTATATGTCTGAAGTGAAAAAGTTGATTTAAAGTTACAGTTACTGATATGCATAATTGGAGAAACTTAATGTATCATATCGCTCAAATTTATTTCATTTCGCTTAAAATTTCTAATAAAAGAGTGTAGTATCAAAATTTTAGTGCATAGATCTGTACATTTTTATTGTCCATGACCTTTTTTGTTATAAGCATTTAAACTAATCATCAGTAAACCCAAAGAACCGAAAGCACACACAAAATATCAAAACAACTTGGATACTTTTAGTCATGATCGGGCGGATAAAAGCTAGATTAGTTGTGCTTAACATTGTAATTGTAGCAATGATAGTGACTGGAAGTGAGTTCTTCGCTACCTGTGATGTCGAAATAGATCGACTTTTGAAAACACTCAAAAAACCTCCTCTTAAATCCATCAAGGTTAATTAAATTTGTGGACTAACATGAAAATTACATTTAACTACATTGTTTTTCATTTTTGTTTGTTTTCAATTCCTAATTGTATACTTTTTTTTTAATTATGTGTAGAGTGGAGATGGATATACAATAGATTGTGTTCATATCAAAAATCATCCAATTTATGACCATCCTTTATTCAAAAATCACACCATTCAGGTTCATGAAGCTTTTTTAGTTATTTTTCTTAGTTACACAAAAATCAATTGATAATACTTTGTGATAGATCTACAAATCATAAATAATACTGTGATGCGTAAATTAAGCAATAATGTTTTTGAATGTTCACATTTACACCATGAAAAATGTCTATAATTTTTTTTTATTACAGAGATATTGCGGTGAGTCAAAATTCCGTAGATCGACCCATTTCATTATTCTTAGGATTTTATTTTAAAGTAGAGTCAAATCTAACTAGGTCGATCCATGTATAATAAATCATGTGAAAATGAATCTTTTCTAACACGTCTAATGGTTCGCACGATCACATGATTGAACCGGACTGACCTGAATAATAAAGAAGCATAGTCAAATGAGGATTGGTTCGCAAGACCTATGATCAACGGCCGGATTGAGTTCGCTAATTACCTTACAATCGCAGTATACATTGAATCATTAGTAAGCAAGATGCATTTATTTGAGGGACAAGCATATCTTGTACCTTTCAAAACATGCAGCCCTGACAACATGTAACCTCACAAGCTATAATGTACACCAATCTAGCTATGGTAATATGTTTTAGAAGCGTAGAAACATGATTTGTAGAATACAAATTCAAATTGAGTTAAAGAAAATGAGCCCACCAGTCTCTTTCAGAGTTAGACACTATAGATTCTAACTCTACAGTATATGTACAATCAATGTCAATACCAAAAAAGATAAGATGTTGTTAGAGACTATTTTCGAAAAATTAGACATAGAAATATAATGCATACTTTTGTCACAATATTTTTAGAATTCTAGAAAATGATCGATGAGTTTGATTTAATAAAAAAAAAATATCGTATGGACTACCATTTATATAATTAGAAATGAGGAGAGCATCTTTTTCAGATATTGCATTAACGATGTTAGATGTATGTGAGGAAGATTTCTCTAGATTGCCAATTCTCATTGTTTCAAATATTTGCTATCACAATCTTTATATTATTATTTGAGTAGACATTTACATAAATGAATCTTTATTCGTAAGATATTACAAAATATTTTACATAAATGAACATTTATTTATAAGATATTACATAAATAAACCTTTACTTATAAGTTATTACATAAATAAATTTTATAAATATAGGAAGCTCAATTAAATATTTCTCCATAAGAGAGAGTTAAATATAGAACTTACAGATTTGTTTTGAATATATATGGATTGAAATCCAAAGTGTACAGTATTTAGTTTATTTATTTATTAAAATATTAAAATATATTCTATTATTTAAAATAATCAGTCTATATATATACAAAATCTGTTTATACTTTTGAAATATTTTTCATCTCTATATTATTATTTGAGTAGACATTTACATAAATGAACCTTTATTTGTAAGATATTACAAAATATTTTACATAAATAAACATTTATTTATAAGATATTACATAAATAAACCTTTACTTATAAGTTATTACATAAATAAATTTTATAAATATAGAAAGCTCAATTAAATATTTCTCCATAAAAGAGAGTTAAATATATAACTTACAGATTTGTTTTGAATATATATGGATTGAAATCAAAAGTGTACAGTATTTAGTTTATTTATTTATTAAAATATTAAAATATATTCTATTATTTAAAATAATCAGTCTATATATATAAAAAATCTATTTATACTTTTGAAATATTTTTCATTTGTATTTCATAATTGATGAATATCATTTTAGAAAATCAATTCAATTATTTTATAAAAAAAAAATGAAATATGTTTTCAAAATTTAAATTATAACTTTTACGGGTTTGTCGAAAAAATATTTTAGTAAATTACGAAATAGATTAAGTAGATGGGTTTGTCCACTTTGACAATCCCATATATAATTACTATTAACATAAATTATAGAATTTATTAACTAAAAATGATAGTTTGATCTCTAATAAAATATTTACAATTTTATTCTATTATAAATATATATTTAGATTCTAATCTATATTGATATATATATATATATATTAACATCATATCACTTTTATATTTAAAACTACTAATAATTAAACCGCATAACAAAACTAGCTCAAACTCCTATTCGGTAGATATATATACAAGTATATATCGGTTGTGTAATATTCATATATGTATTGTTATCTAATTATCATCAATTTTATTTATTTATATTTTTTGTTAAAGGTTTTTTTACCATCAATTTTAATTTAACCAAAAATAATCAAAATTAAATCTAAAGACAATTTAAAATTCATTACCCCGCACAATGTGCGGGTTAATTTCTAGTATATCTTGATTTTAAAAATTTTCAAACATTTCTTATCACAGTATATCACAATATGTGCCTCCCGAACTCTTGCCAATTCTCATTTTTTCAAACATTTCCTATCACAATATATGTTGATTTTAATTTTTTTAGTAAGGTCAACACTCTTAACTCAACATCTACCTGCGCGTGGTTAAAGCATATGTGAGAGAACTTCCATAAACAAAATAAAGATGTTTTATAGTGGTTTGTGTCTTTGTGATAGTGTTATCATTGTGTTACTATTTCGGATAATATGTTATTAACCAAAAGCAATAAAAAATAATAAAAAAATAATCATTAATAGGAAAAAAAAATTCATAATATCATCTGCATCTTCTAGTGGTTTAGCTGTATTAATATATGACATAAATATATTTCTACATTGCATATTCATTCTTTGAGAGTTAAATTTGAAATGACAAACTATAAATCTCAGAATTACTCAAGGTTTTCTATTTATAACATCTACTCGCTTAACAAAACTAAAGCAGCCTGTATAATGCATGTTGAGTGTAGAATTTAGATTTGGGTCAATTTGCTTTAGAGGTGGTCAGATCCGTATTGGGCCTTAGCCCACTTATATCAAATAATTATCCACATACTTGTGGACAATGGCCCAAAGGGTAGCCACTCCTCAAACAAAAACACAACAAAACTTAATGGAAAACTTAATCACAATGAAACAAGACATTGGTGACTGGCAATGGATATAGATTCGGGAATTCAAGTCGGTGACCTCCAAACAGCAAAACGGGAATGATTTACAGCAATAAAAGATCAAGCAAAATCCCACTGAAGCAGCACTACTTCATTACTCTTTAATCACACGAACAATAATTTAAGATACTAAATCTCCAAATTTTAACGAGAAGATGGAGAAAACGCATCATTTCATACCCAGATATGAAAATCACCAAACAGAAGACAATGACATACCAAATATTAGGTCATATATGTATAAACTAAACAACCAAAAATTATATATAATAAATAAGTAAACAAAAATATAAAATTAAGCAAAAGATAAGTAAAAGATAAGCAAAATATAAGAAATATGTAATAAACCCATTGATTTTTAGAAAAAAAAAATTGTGTTTTTGTTCTTACCTTCCTTTTTGATGATGAGATTTATATGGCTTGAAACCGTATCTGCAAAAATAGTTTTAACTTAGAGTTCAACAAAGTTATTACCGTTGCCTAGAAATTACAAAACAACTTTAAGAAACAATCACAAATAAGCCAGATGGGAACGCTTGATAATTTAGGGGTTAGGGAGATGTGTAAGCTACCTTCGTTACTTTTACTTCGGGGTTAATGGGAGGCTGACGAAGAAGTAAAGAGGTCGAAGCTACCTTCGTGTTCTCTGATTCTTTATATAGCACCGGCGATCAAAAAAACATATAAAGAAAAAAATGTACTGTGTTCTTGTTCTTCGTGTTGTCTATATCGTATCTGATCCGTATGTAGCTTTTTCTCTCTCTTCTCATCAGTAACATGTTTTTTTTGTTTGGTTTTAGTTTCTGCAGGAAATTTGCCCGTGATGGGCCGGAGCCGCCACGGACATGTACATCATTGATATCGATCATGAGTTGCTGAAGAACGAGAGGGAGAAAACTGAGCGAAAGAAAATGTAGAGGCTGATTCGATAAATTCCTTTTCTAAATTACTCTCTGTCTCTCTCTCTATAAGCGTGTATTAAGGATGTATTCTTCTAAATTACTCTCTCTCACTCTCAGTGTGTGTATTTGGCCTTATATGGTTTGTATTCGTATACGATGAATAAAAATACGTAATGGTAATGGTGGTGTGTTCTCGTGATGCATTTGGTATACGTAATTGGCTTTGTATACATTTAAAATGGAAAAAGATCGATTCAAAAAGTACGTGATACACATATATGTGCATTTTCATTGTCTGTGACATTATTGGATATACGTTTACCAAATTTTGGTGACCTCCATATATCATCATTATAATATTTAATTACCAGTGCTACCCTTTTTTCTACATTTGGAAAATCTATATGACCATCTTTATTGTCTTTGTATATGTCTGAAGTGAAAAAGTTGATTTAAAGTTACAGTTACTGATATGCATAATTGGAGAAACTTAATGTATCATATCGTTCAAATTTATTTCATTTCGCTTAAAATTTTTAATAAAAGAGTGGAGTATCAAAATTTTAGTGCATAGATCTGTACATTTTTATTGTCCATGACCTTTTTTGTTATATATAAAGCATTTAAACTAATCATCAATAAATCCAAAGAACCGAAAGCACACACAAAATATCAAAACAACTTGGATACTTTTAGTCATGATCGGGCGGATAAAAGCTAGATTAGTTGTGCTTAACATTGTAATTATAGCAATGATAGTGACTGGAAGTGAGTTCTTCGCTACCTGTGATGTCGAAATAGATCGACTTTTGAGAACACTCAATAAACCTCCTCTTAAATCCATCAAGGTTATTAAATTTGTGGACTAACATGAAAATTACATTTAACTACGTACACTGTTTTTCATTTTTGTTTGCTTTCAATTCCTAATTGTATACTTTTTTTAATTATGTGTAGAGTGGAGATGGATATATAATAGATTGTGTTCATATCAAAAATCATCCAATTTATGACCATCCTTTATTCAAAAATCACACCATTCAGGTTCATGAAGCTTTTTTAGTTATTTTTCTTAGTTACACAAAATCATTTGATAATACTTTTTGATAGATCTACAAATCATAAATATTTTTTTTTTCTTTAAAGTAGCACTAGATTAAAAATTTGGATCCAGCAACACTAAAAAAAGAAAAATTAATGATTTAACTAACTGCATTTGGGTTATCAATTTTGTTTTATGTTTGACATGCTTTTTTTTTTCTTAAAATTGTTATGTTGAAGATGAGGCCAAGTTATTACCCAAAAGGATGGAACAATATATCCTTGAACACCAAAGAACAATCAAGTATGGTGACTCAAAGCTGGAGCATTAAAGGGAGATGCCCCAAAAATAGTATTCCAATAAGAAGAACGAAAAAAGAAGATATTTTACGAGCAGGATCAATTGAAATATACCGAAAAAAGTTTCCTTACAACATTCCTCATCCCCAACAACAAAATCTAACTACAAAACATGAGGTGCATAAATATATCATATGTATATATATATATATATGTGTGTGTGTATGTTTATTTATAATTTTTAATGTGTATGTTCATATACAGCATGCCGTGGTTAATGTGGATGGAAAGTTTAATGGAGCGAGAGCGCGTATAAATGTGTGGAAACCTTTTGTAAAGCAAAACGAGTTCAGCCTCGCACAAATATGGGTTGTCGCTGAAGCTGGTGAAAGAACTAACACTATTGAAGCTGGTTGGCAGGTTTTAATTTGTTTTTGCAATTACACCAATATATATATATATATATAATTTTTCTTCTTATTTATGGCTCTCATTATTATTAACTAGGTGTACCCAAATAAATATGGTGATTTTAACCCTCACTATTTTATTTATTGGACTGTAAGTTTTAATTTCATTACCTTATTTTATTTTTTTCTTTTTTTATCTTTTCAAAATATGGAATAACATATGTAAATTTTTGTGTGTATTGTTTGGTAATATGAAAATAGAGAGATGATTACAAGAAAACAGGTTGCTACAATCTTGATTGTCCAGGCTTTGTTCTTGTCAACCAAGGATTTGCCTTAGGTGTGCCTGTAAAAGATATTTCTACCTTGAATGGTCAACAATATGAATTTCCCACAATAATATGGAAGGTATATATAATTTGTGCAACTTTTCATCATATGAATTTAACAAAAAAAAATTATGGTTTTTTTATAAACTAATAATGAAATATGTCATGTTATTATAGGACTCTCATTCAGGGCATTGGTGGTTGAAATTTAGTGACCATACACTTGTAGGGTATTGGCCTTCTAAATTATTTAATACTTTATCAATAGGTGCAAATAGTATACAGTTCGGAGGCGAAATAACAAATAAGGATAAATCTCAACACACAGAGACACATATGGGAAGTGGGCGTTTCGCACAAGAGGGATATCAAAAAGCTAGTTATTTTAGAAATGTTGAGATCATTAATGAAAATGATCTTCCGCAACAACCAGTGGGTGCACATCCTATTACGCGAGAACAGAATTGTTACAATCTCGCTCTTGGCAATCATTTTGTTTGGGGGACTTTCTTTTACTATGGTGGTCCTGGTCAAAATCCTAATTGTAGATGATTAGGACTCATATATAATGGTGTGTGTTGTAACAAAACTTAAAAGTAAAATAATATTTTTATTTAACAATCTATATATTGTTTTGCAAAAATAAATGCTTAAAACGTTAAAATCCCTTCGGTCTACAGTGTTGTGTTTACAATAATATTTTTATTTAACAATGTATATAATGTTGTGTTTTCTCTGATTTTGTATATAGGTTGCGAGAAGCCTCAGCTTTCCACTATCCAAGTACTTGTACAGAAGATAATATGCGGAATCCAAAATCTTTTGAGGAAGAAACTACTCTCGATGCGTTAAAACACTCGAAGCAATTGCCCAGACAGCTATGTTGTTCTGTTAATGTCTGCATTTTTTTTTTTGTGTGTGTGTAAACTTAGCCATGGTTTTAACTTTTAACACAAGAGGCTAAAGCTTTTGATGGAGAAAACTGAGCCTTGGCCATAAGTCTAAAAATGTAAATGAAAAGCCTTAAAATTAAATATTAGTCGACAAAATTTTTTTTTCCTTTTGTGCACAAATCTTAGTCAACGAATAAATAAATGAAAAAACAGAAAGTAAACAAAAATGAATTAAAGAAGGTTTATTAGGTTACGATTAAATTAGTCAACGAATTAGAAAAAAAAAAGGAAAGTAAAAGATGGGAAGGTTTAAGAAGGGGCCGTAAATATTTCTTCTCCCTGACGACGTGAAATTCTGGAACCGAGAGAGAGCGATTAGGATAATCGATTTGGTCAGAGATGGAGGCAGAGAAGGTAGAATTGAAGTTGCATAATACGATGAAGCAACAGAAGCAAGTGTTGATTCCGATAAACCCTGGTCAGATCGGAATGTATGTCTGCGGCATTACCGCCTATGACCTCAGCCATATCGGCCACGCTCGCGCCTCTGTTGCCTTTGACGTCCTTTACAGGTTCTCTTATCAATCTCTTATACTTATCGATTTTGCTCTAGGAATGGTTGTTTTGTAATGGAATCTGTTTTAGATCTCTGAGGTTTGAAATTTGGTGTTTCTGCATTCTTAAAATCTGTGACCTTAACGCTAAGTTTTATCAAGTTTAGAATTGAGCATTCTTTTGTTTGCCTATCGTAAGATTCTTCTCTAATTTCATAACATTTAACCAATCTGGAGATTTTGGAATCGAAGAGGTTTAGGGTTTATCTCTGTACCTCTACTTGTTGTGCAGATACTTAATGCATTTGGGTTATGAAGTTACTTATGTCCGTAATTTCACAGATGTTGATGACAAGGTACGAGATTTTTTCCTTGTCTTATTCTTCTTGAAAGCTATAATTACACTTGTATTTTCCCGGAAAACGTTGTTCCATTCTCTTTTCCTTTTTCATAGTTTGGTTCAGAACACTCTAACATCTGAAAACTGGAAACTGTTCAGGTGATCAAAAGAGCTAACGAGTGTGGGGAGAACCCTTTGGATTTGAGCAATCGTTTTTGCGAGGAGTATCTTGTAGATATGGCTGCTCTTCAGTGCCTCCTTCCAACCCACCAGCCTCGTGTCAGTGACCATATGGATCACATTGTCAAGATGATAGAAAAGGTCTCTGCTTTCTTCCTTCTTCTTATTCTCGTTTCCTTCAATATTCTTGGCTGTAATTCTCAGTAATGTTTTTAATCATCCAAATGCATGCTTCCTTGCTACAGATCATTGAGAACGAATGTGGGTATGTAGTGGCTGGTGATGTGTTTTTCTCGGTTGATAAGTCACCGAGTTACGGTCAGTTATCTGGCCAACTTCTGGATCATACCCAAGCTGGTAAGCGAGTTGCTGTTGATCCAAGGAAACGCAATCCTGCTGACTTTGCGTTATGGAAGGTCTGACAAGTAAAAAAATCTATTTTGTTGAATTCTTCTCTTGAGTGCCTTTGGAGTTAATGGTGAATGGAAATTTATGCAGGCTGCAAAACCTGGTGAACCAAGTTGGGAGAGCCCCTGGGGTCCAGGAAGACCAGGATGGCATATCGAGTGCAGCGCAATGAGCGGTCATTACCTGTCTCCGAGATTTGACATTCATGGTGGTGGTATCGATCTGAAATTCCCGCACCATGAAAATGAGATTGCCCAGACATGTGCTGCTTGTGAAAACAGTGGTGTGAACTTCTGGTTGCATAACGGGCATGTCACTATCAATGAAGAGAAGATGGCAAAATCAAAGAAAAACTTTAAAACGATTAGACAAGTATGTTTCTTTACTTGTTCCAATACTATGATCAACTGAGTTTTCTTTGTGTGTTCTCGTGGCTAATGCAGAACTGTTGAATCTGTGTAGATCACGGCTGAGTACCATCCTCTGGCTCTGAGGCACTTCTTGATGAGTGCACATTACCGGTCTCCTCTGAACTATTCTAAGTCACAGCTAGAGAGTTCGTCAGATTCTTTATATTATATTTATCAGGTGCAGGTCTTCCCAAATTTGATTTGCTTGGCTCTCTTTAAATCAAAACTGTAATATGTTTCGAACCATAATAACCCTGATATCTTTTCTTCTTTGTATAGACATTACAAGATCTTGTTGAAGCTCTGTCTCCATATCAAGAGGCATTAAAAGACGATAACGGAAAGGCTGAACAGACTTCTGAAGCCAGAGACGTAATCAAGAAAGTGAAGAGCGAGTTTGAAGCGAAAATGTCAGACGACTTGAACTCATCTCCTATACTCACGGGTGCTTTCCAAGACGCGATGAAATTCATCAACGTTTCAATCACCAAGCTCAAGAAAATGCAGAAGAAGCAGCGGATTTCGTTGGTTGTGTCACTGGTGGAAGTTGAGAAAGCAGTGAGGGAAGTTCTTGATGTGCTTGGCTTGCTCACGGCATTAAGCTATGCCGAGTTGTTGAAAGAGATGAAACAGAAGGCACTAACAAGGGCAGGATTGGGAGAAGAGGAGATTTTGCAGAAGATAGAAGAAAGAAGAATTGCAAGAAAGAATAAAGATTTCAAGAGAAGCGATAAGATTAGAGAGTTGTTGGCAGTTAAAGGAATCTCCCTCATGGATATTCCTGGAAAAGACACTGTGTGGAGGCCCTGCATCCCTTGGACCCCTAAGCCAAAATCCGGTTTAGACAAAACCTTGATTATCGGAATCGGTTTCATTCTCTTAGGCGTCTTCATCTATAGACGTTGAACTGTTTGAGAGTTTTTGGGATTGAATGGAATCTGTAGTTTCTAATTTTTAGCACATAAACGATCAAATTTGAGACTTTTTGATGTTGAGATTTCTACTTGCAGTTCAACAAAGTTATTGAACTTGCAGTTCAAATTATTACCGTTGCCTACAAATTACAAAAAGAAAAAACAACTGAAACAATCACAAACGTATTGAAGGGTTCAGTTTTTCAAGAGTTTAAAATTTTAGAGATACTACTTTTATTGGTTTATGGATTCTGTATATTCTTAATAAAATCTAGTGTTGTAGAGTAACTAAACTGGTGTTACTCAAAATGTTTGGTTATACGTGAGTTATTGGAGTGTGAACTCTTTACAATTTCTTACATCAATTACTCCGCGTTAATCCTATAAACCACTTTTTTTTTTCACTCGCGTGCGCTTTTTTTTTGTGAATGGAACTATAACGATGAATGGAGCTAGACGAAGGGGAGACGTCTCAGTTTTGTGTAACGTAGTTTGTGAATTGTGATTATATATAGTGAATATCGTTGATCAAAACATTATAGACGATAAAACACAACCGCAGATAAATCTTATTAAAAAAAAAACATTACAAAAAAATAAGCTAAAAAAATTGTTCCTAGCAATAATCTTAATTTGTCGGGTTCTTCTTCGTGGTTGGCATCATAACTGATCCACAGGTGTCTTTTTAACACACAAGTTTCGCTCTCTCTCTCTTTCATCAGTAGACAACAAGTTTATTTATATTAATAACAGAACTATGTTTTTGTTGGTGCAGCTTCTTTGGCAGGAACAATGCCGATCTTGCAAAAGACGTAAGAGACATAATATTAATATCTGATGTTGCATAGTAATGATATATAAACATATTGATATGATTAAAATCGATAACTTAACATCTTTTGATATTAGAAGAATATTAGGTCATATATAAACTAAACAACCAAAAAACTATATATAATAAATAAATAAACAAAAATATAAAATTAAACAAAACATAAGTAAAAGATAAACAAAATATAAGAATTATTGCATGATAATGATATATAACCATATTAATATGATTAAAATCGATAACTTAACATCTTTTGATATTAAAAAAATTATATTATATATAAACTAAACAACCCAAAAATTATATATAATAAATAAATAAACAAAAATATAAAATTAAGCAAAAGATAAGTAAAAAATAAGCAAAATATAAGAATTATTGCATAGTAATGATATATAACCATATTAATATGATTAAAATCGATAACTTAATATATTTTGATATTAGAAAAATATTTGCTCATATATAAACTAAACAACCAAAAAATTATATATAATAAATAAATAAACAAAAATATAAAATTAAGCAAAAGATAAGTAAAAGATAAGCAAAATATATGAATTATGTAATAAACCGAATGATTTTTAGAAGAAAAAAATTGTGTTTTTGTTTTTACATTCCTTTCTGATGTTGAAATTTCTATGGTTTGAAACGGTATTTGTAAAAATAGTTTCAACTTAGAGTTCAACAAAGTTATTACCGTTGCCTAGAAATTACAAAAAAAACTCTAAGAAACAATCACAATTACATATCCGGAGCAGCCACGGACATGTACATCATCGATATAGATGAGTTGCTGAAGAACAAGAAAGAGAAAATTGAGCGAAAGAAAATGTAGCAGACCGATTCGATAAGTTCTTCTTCTAAATTACTCTCTGTTTCTTAACTACTGTCTCTAAATTACTCTCTGTAAGCGTGTATTAAAGCTGTATTCTTCTAAATTACTCTCTCTCTCATTCTCAGTGGGTGTATTTGGCCTTATATGGTTTGTACCCGTATACGATGAACAAAATATTCATATCTGATGTTGCATAGTAAAGATATATTAATTAATATGATTAAAATCGATAACTTAACATCTTTTGATATTAAAAAAAATATTAGGTGAAATATAAACGAAACATAAACTATATATATAAAAAACTTAAAGAAAAATATAAAATTAAGCAAAATATAAGTAAAAAATAAGTAAAAATATATATCATTAATAAATAAAATAGAAATTGTAGAGGCTCTCTATGGCTAAAAATTTGAGGGACTGAATGGAATCTATAGTTTCTAATTTCTAGCACAGAAACAATCAAATTTGAGACTTCTTGATACTGAGATTTCTATGGTATGAAATGGTATATGCAAAAATAATTCCAACTTAACAAAGTTATTACCGTTGCTTACAAATTACAAAACAACTCTAAGAAACAATCCCAAACATAATAGAGGGTCCAGTTTTTCAAGATTTTACATTTATTGCCGTGTTTGTTGGATGATCATGTTAAGGAGACATAAGACATTCGTTTCTTCCTTACCTTCAATATCAATAGTATATTATATAGATCAACTTTTTCTTGTTTCTTTTTATTATTGGATTGTATTATCATATAGTAAACTATGGCGTCTACTTTATAAAAAACAAACATCGAATAGCTGTTGTAGTCGGCTAAAAACCTGCATGTTGATCTAGCCCAGCTTTATCATGACTAAATCTGAACTAATTTTAAAGCTTTAAAATCATATCAAAACCTGATATTCGATCCGGTCCATATAGAGGCAAAATTGGCCAGGGTTACTTAAGCTATCAAAATTATTATATTCATTTTTTATGTTAATAGCGGTGTTTGCCTGGTCAGTAAAATCGAAATTGATCGAATTAACCAATCAGAATAATCCTGATAGACGCATGCGATTCATCAAGTTTATTATACAGCCTAGATTAACAAGAGCAGTGATTGTGATTTGTGAATCTGGAGCAAAGCATGTATAGTTTGGTTGGTAAGATTTTATCACTGCGGTAAAAGGTATAAAAACAATGAGAAGAGTGGAAAGTAATTATGTTTCCACGTAAAAAAAAAACGGATGAAAATTGAAATGGGGCCAAGTACTAAAGTGAAAACTCCAGACTCTAGATGCTGGATTGAAGACTGAAGAGAGGTTTTTACCCCTCACAGAACCGTGCTTACCATGTAGTGAAAAAGGCTTTCACCTTAAGCCCCTAATATATGTAAATTTTTTAGAACCTCCATTTTTTATGAGGTAGTTAAGTGGTTTAAAGTTGGTGTGAGTTTTTTTTTTACATAAAATGTTTTTTTATTTTTGTTTATAAAACGAAAAAAAATAGATTTAAAATTGAATGGCCTAGTTATCATATTTATAGAAAGAGAATTAGTTAGGAACTTCGATTATGAGAGTTTGGTGAAAGAGTTTATTGAAAAAGAAGGAAGAAAAATTATGTTTTAATTAGTTTTTTTTAGATTAAGATTTTATTTTTGAATATTTTATATGATTTTAAATTATATTATATTTTTTTTTAAACGAAAAAAGCTCCAATTTTTAAGTTTGTCTTAAGCCTTTATAAACCTTCGCACTGACCCCTCATACCTGGACGTGGTGTATATTTTTTTAACCGAAGCATGTGACTCCATTAACTTGAACGTGAATCCGCCCTTGGTTAAAATTGTCTGTGAGCTGGTTTTGCTTAATTTTACTGAGTTTTAATTTCGCTTGAAGTACATACTAAAGCAAGGTAAAAGACAAAATAATCAGAATATACATGTATATCTTCGTAATCTCACATCATTTCAAGTATGGTGGAATTTGACAGACATGACTTACTCTGTTTATTACTGATTAATTCCTTAACTGGAAATCCATATGAATCTTGACAGCTTTGTATATTGTATAATAATTTATAATTGAAAAATAACAATAAAAAATTGTGATGAGAAAAGAACGATAACTTGCTTTTTGTATATTGCATTCACTAAATTCTCTCTATTGACTTTGTACTAAAGAATATATATATATATATATATGTTCTTGCTACTAAGATCCTTAAATGTCTGTACTGGCTGAGGTTGTCGGAAGATGAACCCAATTAGAACATTAGATAGCAACAGCATCATTCATCAACATGGCGTAGATTAAGGGAAAGACAAAAATGTGTTTGTCAATAAACACAACTATTTGCGGTTGACTTCATATGACCGTGTTGATCATTTGTTTGTTTCACATCGGTTCTCCTATTGTCTCATAACTCATTCAAATCCGATATTGTTATACTTTAAATTTTGGTATCTACGGATTTACTTTGAATTAATCCAAAATATCCTTAATCACGGTCAATGTATACTTGAACGTAGTAACTGATCACAATATATTACCGATACAGGCAGGTTATTACTCCGAAGATTAGGAACATATTGAAGCTCCACAAGGGCAGTGATTGTGAAGCTGAACAATGAAGTTGCTATATTTTAACTGGTCATAATGTTAGTCTTTTTTCCTCGGTCAAACTACGCATCCCAAAACATCCCACGTACCTAAAATAGATAATTAAAGGAACGACTAATAAAAAAATTTTGATCACACTAACACCTTTCACGAATGGGCGTTACTTGTATAACAGAGCGCCATAGCTTAATATCATGCAAGAATATTAGGATTCCCATACGGATTGGAAATTCTTGGGTCACTGGCCATCCGCCGGGAGTGGTAGTTTCCACCGCCTGTCCAGGGTTGAGCATTATTAAACGAATTATGGATACTCAGACTTAGTCCCTGAATAATTACGTGTACACACACACTCGGTCCTCCTTGTCATTGTCACATTGTCTCCATATTAATTATCATAAGTTTTGTTTTAGTTATTTATTTTTTTTCCAAATGTACACAGTTCTATGTATCTAGATTTACTCAACAGATACTAAAAAGACCATTCTATTTGGTGAAAGAAAAACGACAAAGAGAACCAATCTGGCATTGCAATCACGTGAACTTATAAAATATTTACTATAAATAAAGAGTTACAAAAAGAGAAAATCGTCATAAAGCAATGTCATCCTTCACGTCACTTGTTTGCAGAATTTCTACGCTGTTTTCACATCCTCGACTCGTGGCCAATTTGTCACCTCTTATCGTATAGATTCGTTTCTCAATTCCCTTTGTCCTCTACTGTGTGAATCTAAACACGAATAATCAAGGGTTATTAGCGGGACTAAAAAACATATCAGCAGTGAAATGTAGAGATTCCAAGATCGGATAGTATTTGAAGTGAACCATATTATATATTTTGATTTCCAGTTTAAGGGAGTTATTACCACCTTCTGTCCAAACTCAAGTTTTTAACCAATCTAAACACAAATAGATTTTTATTGGTTAAAAAGTACTAGAATCTAATTATGTGAACAGTTTGATCTAGCATCACCATTATTTGTGTGTGTACTTAGAAGAGCTTTCTTTTATTAATTTTTAAAAAGAGAAGTCTTCGCATTTTCTCAATAGATTCGACCTGGAAAATCAGAGACCTCTTTCTCTATAAATCGGCGCTGACAAAAGCAAACCCAGAGAATTCAGACTTTCCATCATCCGCTAAAATGCGCGTGTCTCCGCGTCGACTATAATGCGCATGTCTCCGTCTTCGCTTTTCTTCGTCGTAACCTCTCTCTGATTTTATAGAATTTCCTTTTCAGTTATTAAAACCACAAAAATTTGTCTGTATGTGCAAAACGAAAATGGGCGTCAATGCTTCAGAGCCAACCCGAACGCGATCGCGGCCGAGTCAATCTCAGGGGAGACACCACCGGGCTCCGCCGACACGGTCTCCGTCAACGAGCATCACCGGTACGACAACCACAACGACCTCGAATTCCAACAAAACTGGTGTTTCCTCCTCCACCGGTGCTTCTTCTTCAGCCGCAAGCCGAACATCTCTCGCTAGTCTCCGAGAATCCTTACCGGAGAATCCTCACATATACGACGTCGCCGAAATCCGTGCCGCCACCAACAATTTCCTTGCTCACCGTCTATCTTCCTCCTCCTCTAAAGCCTCGTGGCGCTGCAATTTGCGAGGGAGAGAGGTTGTTGTGTTCCAGAGGAAGTTCAGGCGGAGAATCGCCAAGGATGAGCTTAGGGATCGCCTTTCCGATATCTGCCGGAGCCACCACGGAAGCATCATCAATCTACTCGGCGCCTCTGTCTCCGGCGGAGGAGGAGGAGGAGGCGATCACATCTATCTAGTCTACGAGTATGTCAACGGAGCATCCCTCGCCGATTGCTTGAGAAACCCTAAGAACCCTAATTTCACCGTTTTATCGAATTGGACCTCTCGGATCCAAATCGCGACGGATCTCGCTCACGGGCTCGATTACATCCACAATAAGACTGGATTGAAGATCGAAAACCTCGTCCACAATCACATCAAGAGCTCGGCAGTGATCGTGACGGAGCCGAATTTCAACGCCAAGATCTGCCACTTCGGCACCGCGCAACTCTGCGGGGAAACAGACGAAACGTCACCGGAGAGAGACGGATCGAGAAGTTCCAGGCGATCAGATAGCAGAGCTCTCAGATTCGAAGGAGTGAGAGGCTACATGTCGCCGGAGTTTCAGTCTTCGGGAATCGCCACTCAGAAATCAGACGTGTTCGCCTTCGGAGTGATGATGCTGGAGCTTCTTTCCGGCGAGGAGCCGTTGAAATACAGGTACGATAAACACACCGGAGATTTCGAGCGGACGTCGGTGATAGAAACCGCGAAAGCTTCAATCGACGCCGAAGATAGCGACGTAGAGGGGCGGTTGAGGAGGTGGATGGATCGGAGATTGGGGGATTCATTTCCTGTGACGGTGGTGGAGAAATTAACGCGGTTAGCGTTGGAATGCGTGCAGGATGATCCGGTGAATCGGCCGGAGATGGGAAGAGTCGCCGGGAAAATATCTCAACTTTATTTGGAATCGGAAAAATGGTCAACGAATATGAAACGGCCAACAGATATCACCGTCTCCTACGCTCCCAGATGATGGAATCAAATATTCAATTTTCTTTTTCTTTCGTCCTTTCATAATTTGTATATTCGTATTCGTGGGTAGGCTTTTTTTTTTCTAGATTAATTGTTGATGATTTGGTTGTAATTACGTTATGAAGTTTGTTAAAGAGTAATACTTCACAATTTTGGTTTGTTTACATTACAAGTAAATGGAATTGTGTTCGTGGGGCATGAACAATATAAAGAACTTGTGTTAATTCACATCCTTTTCCAAACGTTGTTTGGGAAAGTATGTTGTCAGTTAGGTAGAGGTTAGTTTTTTTTTATGTAAAAGGATTTGTGCAATAAAATCAAAAGTCAAAACGATGAAGAAGACGTACGAGTTATGAGGTTTTAGAGTCGTGTGGTGTGGATGAGGTTTTAAGTCAAGACCTATGAGTTATGAGGGACCAATCTCACATTAATGCTTTTGTAAACAAAGAAATTTTCTGACTAATAAAAAAGTGCAAATGTTATCTCGTCCACACTATAAATGTTTCAGAAGTCAATTTGCTTTCTATTTACTTCAGAATCATGTCTAAGCTTACACTTCTTCAGTTCTCCTACTATGAAACAGTTGCGAGGTTACTTTCACGACATGGGCTTTTGCATAGGTCTTAATATTGGGCTTATTTTACATCATAGCCCAATGGCTTTTTACTGTTTATCTACTGCAAGCATTGAGCTTAAACGAGTAACACAAAGTTTGGTTTATTTCAACTAGGTAAAATTATTTTATATTATTGATTAATGCCTATTCTAGTTATAAATTATTTTTTAAATATTTATACGATTTAAAAGTTTTCATGTTTTTCATATATACACCATTTATAATTATAAGGTTTAAAAGTTTTCATATGTTCTTTCATATGTAGACCGTTTTTGTTTTAATATACATGATTGATTAATAAATACATGTTGTCAGCTGCATCTTAAAAGGAAAAACGTGATCCAAAGGGATATTTTGGTTGAATAATGAAGATTCTATGATGCATCCTCCTACAAACAATTGTATGCTCTACAAACAAAAGTTCTCATAACCAATATATTATATATTATTTTTCTTAAAAGACCATATGTCATTACTCATTACTATCTGAGGTCAAATAGTGACAGAGCATCAAAGGTGGAATTTCTTAGATTAACGGTCAAATAGTAACTACCAATTAAGCAGATTATAAAAGGATAGATAAAAAAGAGGATTAAATTCATGAATATAAGAGGAAAGGAGAAGAGAATGAGAGGTCAAGTCAAAAGAAGTCCACATCACATCACTTCACACACGCAAAAGCATACCAATGCCTTGTCTTGTCAAATCATTTTGCATCTCGACAAAATCTAACTCCTATACATATACATACACTGATACACAAACATATACATGAAATAAGTGCTCCTTTAGAGCTATTTAATAAATGATGTATTTTTATTCTTTTTTATTCCGAGGTAGATCATGGCCAAACCTAGAGTAATAGCCAAATATGTAGAAAATTGGTTATTATTATCAAATGAAAATGTCTATAATATTCAAGTGGATGGTCAACAGTAGAGACAAGGCGTTAATGAGATTTCAATCATGACCTCAACTTATATATAATACTTTTACTACTATAATTAACCGCATGATTACAACCACTTGGTTTAGAAGGTATTTTTCGTGGTGTAAATTAATAACATAACATTTTGAATACAGCTTTAGAATAACTTTTTCAGATTTGTAATGAGTGCGGTGGTATTGGAGATGCGTTTTTAGGAGAACATCAGAACATGGAAATGTAAACATTTTTTTTTTATAGAAATTTTTTATATATATTGTATAATGATTTGGACAAAAACATGTGATTTAACAATATAACACTACTGTATTTTGCAACAAATTATATTGTTTTGTGGAAAACAACCATGTACTTTAGCGTGTATAAATATCAAAATATAATGCGACCTACCAAAATAGTTTGAAACTCTAATAATACATTGCACTTTTACACACATTTCGGGGGAAGCGTTTAATTACCTTGAAGTTTGATTTGAAGAAACAGGAAAGTTGAAAGAAAAAAAAAAAATAAAGAAAATATAAACTTATATTTATATTTATCTATTACAGATAGGTCGTCTCAACCATTGCAATGATAAATCAATCGTTTACTATATTAGATTGAAGACAATAATCATAAGAATCGATTTAGTATTTATTGAGGTAGTTGCTGTTGAAATACAACATTTAAGCAATAGTCGGACGATGGTTCGCAATTCTGTGGATAAATTAAGTTTTGCCTGGTGAATCGGTGGTAAAACAATACCGTTGCGTACATTCTATATTCTTTTTTAAAACAACCGTTTGAGATAGTATTCAATGATAGATCTTCTCTTCATAAATGAGGCAAGACTTTGAAAATCGGTCAATGGTATTCAAAAATCTAATATAGACAAATAGACTAATATATATATCTAAAATTACTCATGTTCACATATTTGTTTTTGCATGCAATTGATTAGAAAGTTGAGAAGCTTTGGTCGAGAAAGTAGGTGCCATGGGTGGCAGATAGGGCAATAACAGCCTTTGGAAACAAGAACATTATCCTATATGAGTGTATGACCACACCAAAAGATCTTGTTTCAGTCTTAACTTTAACTCTTGAAGTAAAATCTTCGTTCTCCAAACAAAAAGCAGCTGAGATTTACTGTTTCACCATCTGTTTTTTTTTTTTTTTAAATCTTACATTTACATTAACTTATCCATATTCAATCCTTAACAAACACTTCTTCTGTCTTATGCCACAATACTTAGCAACAGAACTGGAGACTCCAGCTTTTCTTGTCTCTTTCTTTCTATTCAGATACTTTTGTAAATATTAGTATTATATATATATATAATTATTGATAGTTTAATAATTATTAATATATTATCAAATATGCAATTATCGAATCGCGTGGACCATATATGGCCCAAATGGTTGACCAAAACAAACAAAATTAGTCTCCCATCCCTTCTACCCCAAATTGCATTATGGCATGAGATGACAAATTCTTATCAAAATTAAAAGCTTATATAATCTTTTCGTTTAACATGCAATACTCGGAATATATGGTAGCGTGAGATTTTTCAGATATTATATGATTATATACATTTAAATTAATAATCAAACTATTTTATAATGCACTGTAAATTTGATACTACCCGCACGGCCGCACGACAAGTTATTTGTCTAATACAAAATAATTTGATCTAAGCATACGGAAAATCTAAGTATACATATGTAGTTTGATAGGATCATCATTATGTAGGATTTGTAATTTTAAGAAGGAAATGATTATCACTTTTAATTATAATAAAAAACGAGCTAACATATCAACTTGTGATTTGTTTATATGTCATTAAGAAAGTGATCATTTATCTTCAAGAAATTATAGGATACGCATGGTATATTTTCCTATTCACAATTATCTGTTCAAAACAATTTGAGTTCAAGGATTTCAAAGTACAAATCAGCTCGATTTTTAGTGGAGGTTAAATTTCCAGTGAGCGAAGATTATTCCTCAACGTTCGAAATATCATAGGGAAAAAGAAAATCAATCGAATTCCACCTAATTGAACCTAGGTGCGTGCGTATTCACATAATAAATGGTGAATATTTTAGACACTTAGACCTTGGCCAATGAGCTGATCAAACTCGATATATTGGGCGCGCCAATACGCACGCATACACTCTCCCTATTTTCTTTTCGACTGGAATTGTAATATTGAAACCTTAAGATCCGTCCACCCGTTGACCAAAAAAGAAAGGATCCTTACACTCTCCCTATAATATCATAAATTTTTGATTTGGTATATATTGCCTTAATTTCTCAATTTCAGGAGTTTTATGAAGACCCCTTTGAGTTTGACTAGTATAACTTATCTTATTCATGGTATTTTCATAGCAAAAAAAAAACTTTCATCTAAATGTAGAAAATACATACAGACACCTTACAGTACATACATATCGCTAGTAGAGTAGTGCACACACAACGACGCGTATTTGTGGGCCATGATTTTTCAAATAACAAATTCGGCGTTAGTTGATGGAAATTCAAGGCAGCTCAAATACTTCTTGTTCAAACCATTACATGTTTTTTTAACCTTTTTGAGCCTAGAAAGCATTATGTCTACAACAATGCTAGGGCAATAATTTACTTTGCTTACGATAGATATAGATGGTAAGGAATATTTTGACTGTATAACTAGGGTTAATTTAAGTGGTTTATAAGAAAGTGATGCGGTTTAAATTATCTAAGAGATGACATCAAACGGTTCAATTATATAGTTTATATTATTTTGAAATAATTTACTAAATGTTAAAAATCTATGTTTTTTTTAAACAGATCCGATCTATGCATATATATTATATAGAATTCAGCTGATAGATAATTTATCCATAACAAACATAACTACGATCGACGATTTTATATGCAAAGCGCTGAAATTGCTCATGAGTTATATTCATAATCTCCAATAAGCTTACTTTCGCTGTTTACAAGCAGTTACAATAGTAAAGAATGAAAATAAATAATAAAAGGCACTACTACTAAATTAATTGAATAAAATGAAAATACGATACATAACAGCATGAGTTATATGAGTTATGAAGCGTGTGTGAAACAAGTAATACATTCAAAGAAGGACATGTCCATATTGTTTACTTGTTCATATTCGTTAGTTATTAACTGTTTAGGAACAGTAAAGTTTTCAAAACAAGTACAGTGTTAATTACATTAGCTAAGTGAATAGTTTTAGTTGTTCATTTACAACATATATATATTGATTACCAAAAAGGATTGGATACTAACGGAATGTATATAATTTAATGAAAAAGATATTGCTACACAGCAATATCGGTTATTATAGGGATTAGGTGTTATACTTTTAACTTTGCTACAAATTTGACAAAAAATTTAAGCTGCTGACAACTAAATTAAAATAAATAAAAGTAAAATTTTCTTGCCTATCAGTAAGTGATTATCAGAAGCAGCTATGAAGAGAAGCCAGCTGAAACATTAATTTTGCCTCCAAATTTGAAGAAGTTTAAATGTAATTAAGTCATTTGTTTCCAAAATCCTAACAAAATAATATAGATCAACTAACTTCCATATCGTTTG